ATGCATGCATGCATGTATGTATGTATGTATGTATGTATGTATGAGTCGTTCTCTCGTGAGCGTCAATACCATTGAATGAGTGGTTCAAAATACAAGAGGCTCTTTTATCTGAAAAACGGAAGTGGAGATGTTATACAGTAGGGTCGTTTCCTTCCAAGATCTTAGGGAGGCTGTTATTAAAATTAGGTCCCAAAAGTAAATCCCTAATACTTAGACCCACTGGAACCTCCGTACTAGTACGGAAAAAAACGAAGAAGGTGTGAACTAAAATGGAGACACTTCTAACAAAGCTCAAGACTAAAGCGAAGGTTCGCCGAACAGAAACGAAGACCTACCAAACTGGAACTAAGCACATTCACTTCAAGGGTGGACTTAAACTGTTTCTGGAATTATGAATTGATCTTGTCGTTGTGACACGCAATCCACCAAAACCGTTATGTCTTTTGTTATTGATTTTGAAATCAGAATGGGCCTACCTGGGGTAATTTTTCAATACTCACTGTGTTTGATTGGCAGGCCATGTGTCCAAGAAGCACAGAGGGCGATATACAAGCTATAATACTCCATATGATTGACTTCTATTCATTGGAAAATGTAGTTAGCGGTTGAAAATTTGATTGTCAGCTACTTCTTCTACACATGCCCTATTTCTCAAGTTCCCCGGAAGGGAAAAGAAATTTGGTAGAGAACTCTGCAAGTCTGAAGTTGCTCCCTTACAATTCAGGGGCCGTCTTTCCGTTTGACATAACCAAGTCTAGGCCGTCGTTTTAGTCGAAAAGAAAAGAAAAAGCAGACAATTGTGTATTGGTGCGTACGAAAGGCGGAATTCTTTTGGGTGTGACACGCAAAACTATGGAGTGTTTTGAGTTTAACAACCTAGGTTAAATTGATACAAGAAATACCATTTTAATGATACGATGTTAGAATCACTATGAGATGTATAAACACCATAATGGAAATAAATATATTTATTATCCGTAACAATTTTGCTTTTGTCCGAGTGTTGCACTTTTGGGAAGGGAAAGACGCCATGGCGACGAATTTGCTATCAGTAAGACACGTCAAAAGACTGATGGGTGAACGAAGATGGGAGGAATAATTCATGTGGTGTCTGCGCTCTGACTCCTTACAATTACTATAAAAGGAAAGCTACCAATTCAACCCGAATGAAATTCAGTCCAACAGTCCACTTTTATTGGCCTTCTAAAGCGACTCGAAAGCCGCGCCTCCCATGGTCTCCCAAGGAATGCCGTCGAATAGGTTATTTTTGATTGGCTGTGACTCTTGATGATCAGTCGAACAGCAGACGGGCAGATGATGTCACCATTGGCAATATCTTTTCTCTATGATCAATAAAATATAGATCACGGATGGCACTTATGGTGACACTACAAGAAATATTCGTAATTTGTTAGCGTGTTTGCCTTTGTATTGGTCACCATATTGAAGTTGCACGTGCCCCTTCAATATTTCATATCTAGGGCCCTGTTCACTGTTCGTAAATTGCGCCACAGACGAAGTTGTCGTGATTAGTTACATTTATTAGACTCAGCGACTAATAAAACGAATTTTTACGTTCAAATCACAGGGATAAAACGTGTTGTAGGCGCGTCAAATTTATGTCTCGCTTTTTAAACGCATAGACTCTGTTATATAGCTTACAGTATTTTTAATTATTGAAGCGCCAGATTTAAAGCAACATTTTACCTCGATTTGGTTCAATTAAAGTTCCACCCCACCCCCACCAAATAAAAAGGACCTGAGGGCTTGCTGTTTTGTTGTTCTAGAGCTTTGCTTGTAAAACATACATTCCAGTGGAAGAGCCAGGAGCTACTGGAGCTGTAGATAGCTACCCGTACATGACATATATTGGCTTTAATTTGCAAATCATTATAACATCATTAAAGCCAATTGACCTGCAAACCACATACCTCTGCTAAGACCCCGTCACTCCCCTGGAAACCAGCCTCTTCGCGGTTTGTTTTCAGTTTCCGGATCTCGGGTATTGAAGAATGGCGGCAATTGTGAGACGCTCTCCAAATTTTCTTTTTGGAGCACGCAGTGCATTGCGAGCTCTTGTTTCTTCTCCTTCGTTCGAGACTCACAAGCAGCAAAAGAATTGTAAGTGATTCTTTATGTTTTGTCTCTTTTCTTCCTAGTTGACGCGGAGGATTCGAAGCGGGTGGAATTTCGAATGTTGATCTTGATCTCATGTTTGTTTCAGTTTGCCATCATGGACACGCTAAAATTAAAGTCGATGGCCCTGTGGTTGAGATGGACGGCGATGAGATGACCCGTGTGATATGGACAATGATTAAAGACAGGGTAATAAAACCAAATTTTTCTAACTTAGAATTTAATTGTCCAGCACAAATTGTGTTTGTGGAAACGGTTCGTGAACAAAGGAACCGTTATTTATACTCTTATAACTAAGGAAATAAGCCCCTTTGTAACAAAGACTCTTCGTAATCTTGCAAGGCATCACCTAATGCTAAAAGAACGTAAGATAAAGTCTCCAAAAGAAGTGTTTCTCCGTATATTGTTTGAGCTGGAAAAAATTACACGCAACTTTAGATGCGGGGATAATTATTTCAGTTACTACTTTCTTGTTTTGGCGTGAAATTTTGCAGCCAATCCCCTAAGTACACGTATTATTTACACGGGAAGGAAGCCAGTGGAACGATTTAACCTTGATATTTTGGTAAGCTTGCCCAATCTACTTCGAAGCGGGACATTGTTTGGTCTCATTTCGATGTCTTCTTTCTGTGTACGTGGAAAACCGTCAACTGTAGCTACCAAATAATTCTGATTAAGACTCTGTTAGAGTGTTGAGTACCCAAAGCAATAAAAATATTTTATCTTGTACACTGTGAAAGAAGAATATGTAGCGCAAATAATCGGCTGGTGTGTTTGCAGAGATGGAACATATCTCATTTAGATATTGTATTTAGTAAACAGTAAGAATTTATATGCACATTTACAGCATACAGCAAATTAAATATCAAAAGAAAGTGTATGGGGATTGAGAATAGCGAGGAAAACGAATGTTAACAGTTAACAACACCTCTGTCCCTTCATTACATCAATCACTCCTTGAAAAAGGTAGAGTTTTTGTGGAATTTTATTGGTATCTGAGGTGTTGAGTCTATAGTGGATATTACAGTGACTGTCAGCAGTAAAAGTATGGCGATTTTTTTAACTGATGTGTAAAGAGGATTTCTCCAGAATTCTAAGGGTAGTCGGTGAAATAAGGTTTTCAATCACTTTATCCCAGTAATTATCTGCAATAGTTTATGGCAATGATAAAAGATGGATTGAAGTAATACTGAAATTATGAAGTGATAGGTGATACTGAATGTAGTGAAGCAACATTCAGTGCATTTTTATAATAGTAAAAAGCACTTGGCTACAATAACCTTAATACAAGATTGAAGTGGCTGCTTTAGCCATGCAGCTATAGTACAGAAGGAGCAACATTTTGAATGAAGAGTTTTTTCAGAATTCAGAGAGTTTTGAAAAACTAGGTATGAAAATTGATGGTATAGGACACAGAGTTGTCAGCTGTCACTGCTCATTCTAAACAGTCATCGATCGAGGCCAAAGGTTAAGATATAGGTCATTTAAAAGCTTTGATATTTTTTTGCCTGCTAGCTCATTAAACCATATCTGGATCTGGATATAAAATACTTTGATCTTGGTTTGCCACATCGAGATGACACAGATGATAAAGTAACAGTTGAAGCTGCTGAAGCCATCAAACATTACAGTGTGGGAATCAAATGTGCAACCATCACTCCAGATGAGGAGAGAGTGAAAGGTAGATGTACCCATCTGTAAATGATGTTTGGAGAGATGGAAAATAATTACATCAACCAGTGTTCCTATATCATCTATCTGCACTTTATTTCAAATGTACCAGAAACCACCTCCACTGACCATGACTTAGTAACAGTTACAGTTGTAGACAATTTTGTGGACATTAATTAAGCTTACTGTAGAGGACCAAGTTAATTAGGAAAAATGATCACCGACTCCTGAGAATTGAGTGGAAAGAGTTTGTTTATGTGAGTCATCACTCTTGTTTCAGTGTTCAAGATCTTCTTATTTTTGTCAGGAGGTTTTTACTGCCTTCAAGTACAAGTGACTTATGCTCAAGAAAATGTAAACTTCTCTCAAGTTTAACTAAAGTTTTGCTTTCATTTGCCTGGTTAATTTTCCTTTTAACTGTACAACTTATAAATTAAACCCCTGATCACTCCAGCCATTATCATTTTCTCCCTAGGTACATAAATTATGTATTGGGGCAAGAGAACTCTAGAACCCACTTTGAAAGTGTCTTTTTTTTTATAATTTTTGTCAATGATACCCTTAAATGTGCATTTTTGTTCATATAACATGCCAAATTATCATTCATGGATGGGTTTTGAATATTTTAACAAAATGTTCTTCAAACTAACTTGATGTACAATTTCTAGAGTACAACCTGAAAAAAATGTGGCGAAGTCCTAATGGCACAATTCGAAACATCCTTGGTGGTACTGTATTCCGTGAACCAATCATTTGCCAGAAAGTTCCCAGACTGGTCCCTGGATGGGAACAGCCAATTGTGATTGGAAGGCATGCTCATGGTGACCAGGTAACCATATTAGACTAGGTCATATACAATTTACAGCTCCTTCCAGGAAATACTGAGTAATGACATGATGGGAAAGAGGTTGAGTTCAATCAAACACCAAAGCAGAAAGAACCATATTGACAAGTCATAATAAAAATAGTTATTTGCACCAATGGCAGCATTCCAAAATGTATCAGTAGCAGCTAGCCAATGTTGGATGTACAGTGGTGCATAATAATGATCTCATTCAACAAAGACTTGTACTTTCCAGAAGCAGTCAAAATATTTTAATGTACAATTGAGACAATTGATAATGATTCGTTATCTTGAAAGGAATGGCTAAACTTTTGAGGGGTGGATTAAAGTAGAGATAGAATCCATGGATTGAATAGATATGTGTTGTACCATACATGCACAGTTAGTATCCATGGAATAAATTAGGTGTTGAGTTGTTTAACTTTTCCCCAGAGAAGAAAGTATCTTGTAAATTATTTTGTGTACCTGATGGAAAATCTTTTTTTGCTTTCAGTATCGTGCAAGAGATTTTGTTGTGAATGGACCAGGAGTGTTTGAAATCTCCTACAGACCTGCAGATGGGAGTGAAAAGTTAACCACTGAGGTGTTTGAGTTTACTGGTACTGGAGGTGTCACCATGGGCATGTACAACACTGATGAGGTATTCACTTGTTGAGTTATTTCTAGCCTTTCTTTAGATTGACTACTTCAACTGGACTGGTCAGTTTTGTATTAATTGTTTTGAAATTACTGTGCATACAAAAGTTAAGAGAAGAAGTCTTATTTTTAAGTGTAGGAGCCTTTTTTTTAGAATTACTCCAAGGCATAGCTGTTGTGCAGTTTTCTTTCATTTTCTTAGCCAGTCTAAGAAGTTTTCTTTAAGAAACACTTCCTGAGGTAGGCCAAACAAACTGGCCATCATTTAGAGAGGAAATAACAGTAATAATCAACCTTGGGACAACATGTCTTAACAACCTTGAAAAAAAGCCCTCTGTGATTTGACATTTGTAGAGACTGATATAAATCCATTTTGTGTTGGTGATTTTCAGTCCATCAGGGATTTTGCCCACAGTTGCTTCCAGTATGCATTGAGCAAAGAGTGGCCACTCTACATGAGCACCAAGAATACAATTCTTAAGAAATATGATGGCAGATTTAAGGACATCTTTGAAGAGATTTATGAAAGGTACCGTGTTTGTGGTTTATCCTTCCTTCTTTCCTTCCTTCCTTCCTTCCTTCCTTCAAACATAAGCAGTATTTCTTGAAATTAATTTTGTCTAGCTTCAAAAATAGTTACAGTGTTTCAATAACTGTAGCTGGTTTCAGATGTCTGAAAGTTAGTTGTTTTCTTTCATGCAGCCCTTAAAGTAAAAGTACATGGCTTTCATGTAAATGCTTCAGAGTTTTTGATAAATTGATTTGAATTCACAGACTGAATTATATCACCCTTTTAACTCCTTGGGTGACCAAAACAGAATTTCTCCTCACAATATCAAGCAGAAAATTGATGAGAATAAAGTGATAAACATGTTGCTGATTTTCCTTATAATATCCATACATTATCTAACAAACAAGTAATTAGAAAACTCAAACTTATCAGGTAAAACTTGTTTTCTTGATCTAACACCAAACTCTTCTTACTAATTTACAAGGAAATGTGTAGCAGTTAGAGGGGAGAATTGACAATCAGATGTGGGGAGTTAAAGGGTTAAAGATGCATGTCAAGTGAGGATTATTCATTTCAGGAGAGATTTTGTTTCCATTTCAGAAGTTATAAAGATCAATATAAAGAAGCTGGGATCTGGTATGAGCACAGACTTATTGATGACATGGTAAGTCATAGCCAACATTTGGTGTGAGTGTCGACTATGTCCTAATACTAACATCTTATTGATGACATGGTAAGTCATAGCCAACATTTGGTGTGAGTGTCGACTATGTCCTAATACTAACATCTTATTGATGACATGGTAAGTCATAGCCAACATTTGGTGTGAGTGTCGACTATGTCCTAATACTAACATCTTATTGATGACATGGTAAGTCATAGCCAACATTTGGTGTGAGTGTCGACTATGTCCTAATACTAACATCTTATTGATGACATGGTAAGTCATAGCCAACATTTGGTGTGAGTGTCGACTATGTCCTATTATTACACGACTTGGGCAGTCAGAGGGCCAATAACTAAAATCAACCAATCAAAATGCTCTATTGCCCGTCCAATATTCTCTCAGTATTGGACCGGGCACTGTCCCGAATGGTCCTGAATGATACCGCACTTGTGTCCCTTTGAACTTCAGTCGTATAATAAATCTCTTATTAACCAAGCTTGCTCGGGACCGTACTGGAAGAATATCGGTCCTCAGTCTTTTTTGTACGGACCTCGCTGCACTTGGTCCATACTTTCAAGACCTCAGGCCAATATTCTCCCATTACAGCCCTCATGCTTGTTTAATAAGATATATATACTAACATCTTCTTCAGTTGGGGTTAACCATTACCAAAGGGCTGCCTTCATCTTAAGGTCTGTTTTTCAACCCTCTTTACTGGTGATTATGAAGCAAACCAGTTGCATCTTCCTAGGCTTGTCATTATTCTATTCATCTAATTATAAAATTTAAGTGGTTGTAATTTAGGTTGTATATGAGGGTAAATTATCAGTCGTTTAACCCATGTATACATATTCTCCAGACCATTTTCTATACATTTGCTAAGGTGGTGCTAAGGAGAGTTTGTTTAACGATCAAGAGCTGTTTCAGTTGCTGATCATTTCTTCTTTTTTTCAAGACCTTGATGTTTGATTCATGGGTGATGTTGTAAGGAGAAATTAGATGCTAGTCTCTCTTAGGGGTCAGCAAACCTCTAAGTTTGCCAAGTTGCACCACTATGATCATAGTAACTTCCTTAGTCAATAGGATGATTATTGGATATTCCTACATGATGGAGTTAATGCCTTCTTTATTGTCCTGCAGCTTTTCTTTGAACTACACAAATTTGTCTTGAATGTACTGTTTTGTGAGATGTGTTATGGTTAGAACCAGCTTCATCATGACAAGTGAGGTTTCTTCATCTAGGTGGCCTATGCCCTGAAGTCTCCTGGTGGATTTGTTTGGGCAGCAAAAAATTATGATGGAGATGTCCAATCTGATACACTGGCTCAAGGTACACCTAAATACTAACAATGTAAAGGCTCTGTCTTGTGCATGACAAGGGTGAAAGAAAAGTGCTGTTGATGCCTGTGTTACTCTAGCCAGTGAGCTTATTGATTATTTATTAGACAGAGTATTAACTCTGATTTGTTGCAGGCTTTGGTTCTCTTGGTCTCATGACAAGTGTACTGGTATGTGGTGATGGAAAAACAATAGAGGCTGAGGCAGCCCATGGTACAGTGACAAGACATTACAGAGAGTACCAGAAGGTACAACTGGCATTATTATCGTTATTATTATTGTTATGAAGTCTTGAAGTCTTGCTCAATCAAAATGTTTTCCCAAGGAAGCTGAATTTAGTCAAGCAAATTCAAATTCATGCCAGTGCAGTATATGTTCCTTTCGTACCCTTCATATTACCTTCCAGCCCCTATACCAACCATCCTTCTTCCCTACATTTCTCTCCTCCACCCACCCTCTCTAACCCTCACTGTAGTTTCCCAGTGCTGTCCTCACATATGCCTCATTAGAGATTCATTGTGGCTGGGGTGCTATGATGACTTTTTTGCCAAGCAGGTTCTACTTACCTTTTTCTCCTTTTTTAGTATCCATCCCTCTATACAACAACTGTCTTAGAGAGTTTTTCCACCAAAGGCCACACGTTTCTAAAACTTGTGCACACAGCATTAATGAATTGTAAGGAGGTTGACAACTAAATGGTATTTTAATAGTAATGAATGAAGTGGTCAGTAAACTCGTGACAGGTTTTGGTGTTTGATATTTGTTTGGATGTTAATGTTGTAGGGAAATGAGACAAGTACCAATCCTATCGCCAGTATTTTTGCATGGACTCAAGGTTTGCGCCACAGAGCAAGACTAGACAAGAATCCTGAACTTAAAAAGTATGTATTCAAATTTACTTTTTGTGAAGCCTCTATACATTGAACCTCTGTAAAAAACACCTGCTGCAGCAAACAGAGAATGCCATTATAGGTAACACTCGAGCACTTTGTCAGTTATCCTGAGAACACAGGCGTTTTGCCCAAGAACACAACATAATGGTTGTGGCAAGTACCTGAAACTGGAAAGTAAGACCCTGAGTGGGAGATTAACAGACTAGACAACTGTTTTTCTGTCCCATATAGATTCAAACATTATTGTAAAATGTCTTGAAAAGGTCTCTGATACACAGTAGCCACTGTTTATTATTTGGGTTGAGTATTTAACTTGTGGTTGAAATTTTGTTCATTTATAACATGTCACCATAAGTAACCATTCTTCAAAAACTAATACAGCATTTGCAACATATTAACAAAACTACATTTACAAATTCTTGTAGGTGAGAAGCAGTATTTTTGTACTTCAGTTGGTTACTAAATGATGTAATTTTTGTGTTCTCTAGGTTCTGCAAGGCTCTTGAGAAAGCATGTGTTGATGCTGTTGATAATGGTCAGATGACAAAAGATCTCGCTGCCTGTATCTATGGACTTAGCAAGTAAGTTAAACTTAAAATAATTCATATTAATGTGTGCTTGTGTAGGGACAACTGAATGTGTCCTTTGTTTGAATTATGCCAAAACTTTTCAATACCATTTTTGTGATTACTTAATGTATGGAAGAGGTGGGCAAATTTCCTGAAGTGGACCAGTTGGGCATCGCATCCAGGGGAAGTTAGCAATAAATCTAATGTAGAATTCTTCACTGAGCTAGGGAAAGCTGGACGAGTTCAACTCTATAGAGAAGTTCTCAATTGAGTATTGAGAGTGAATCCTGGACTGCTTTGGTTGCTTTATTTTGCTTTGTACCGGGTCATTGGTCTATAAAATTTTCACCGGTAGCACCAATCCCAACTTAGTACCTTGCATTTTCCTGCACTTTAAGCTGGTTGCATGTTTTTACTTTGAAGTTATCATTGGTTAATGATGATGTTGACCATTGTTCTGATTGGTAGTTGAGGTGATGTTGACCTTTGTTCTGATTGTTATTTGTGATGATGTTGACCTTTGTTCTGATTGGTATAGTTGTGGTTATCGATTGGAAACTGCACTATAATCCTTTGCTATGAAGGGTGGGGTTCATCCAATAGATCATGTTAAACTTGTTTTTTGTTGCCCCCTTTGAGATCATGTGATGATGTGCAAGGAATTTGTGTACTATAAATATAGAAAAACACACTCATCCTTGAAACTCTAGAGGTTTGGTAGAACAGAGCATGAAACCCTCCTGGGTTTTCTGATGATCTGAATAGGGCAAAAATGCAGCACAAATAGGGTCCATTCAACCCAAGAAGGTGGATCATGTGATGTCCACTGGGTTCTTTGGTAAACAACCTTTCCACCAATAGTTTCTTTTTTCAAAGGGCTTCCTTGGCTGAGATAGAGTGGACTGTTACATTTTGCTTTATCTTTTAATCAATTTTGGCAGAGTACTAATAGTGGCATTGTTGCTTTATATAGTGTTAAGCGGGACCAGTACTGCTCAACTGAAGAGTACTTTGATGCCGTTGAGAAGCAACTTCACGACCTTTACCAGCCTCCTGTATGATGATGAGTCTGCCGTGAAAATTCCACAGATAATAATCCTGGAGACTGATGACGCAGTAGCAAACCTGGCACTGTATTTGTGTTCAATGTAATGTAGCACAGGCCTAGCTAGTTCCAAACTAGTGCTTACTATAAATATTCTATGAGATGAATGTGACTGTTACTAATGCATTTTATGTTAAAAACTGACACTGTGTTCAATTCAATGCAGCGTAGGTATTTATTCAAAGTAATGTAACTAAATGTATTTTGCACTCAGGCGCTCTCACGAGCTGTCATATTGTAGTAATTCTGTTGTCAAGCCAGTCAGTTCCTAGCCTATCAGTTTCGGCGGCAAATTCATGCACATAGACATATAATATACTGTGTGGTGAATGTCAGTGTTTCAGCGTTAATTACGTATTTTCCGCTTATGATCTGAAACAAGCTTCCAACTGAAATTTTACTAAGTTTACTTTGTAGTTAGGGCTTAACTAGATTCTCAATTTTTTACCTGTGTGAATAATGTGCGGTTTATTGTATGTACTTGCAGAGCAGAAAATAAAAGATACTACGATTTTAAAAGTAGTTGAGTCTTTTCAGAAGAAGATATTTTGAAGATATTTTTTATCGTAGTTTTCGAGTAAGGGTGAGATGTTCATCTGCCTATTTTAAGTCGTCACCTGGGTCAGATCTACAGCAAATCCTTTGATTTTAATAGTACATAATGCCCTTGATTGGACTCAGTTGTCAGTCGCGCTTCCAGTACACGGCTGCAGGGAAGATGAAGAGATCAACTGATTTTTTTTTTTTTACCAAGAGATGTACGAGCAGGCCGTCTGACACAAGTCCGACGCTAGTCCTGAAACCTTTTTCGAAACTGGAATCTTATTGGCTGACGCAAGTGCAGTAATATTTAAAGAATAGAGTGTTTCTGTCGAGGAACTATCGGCT